TGAACAATTCTAGATCAACAAGTGATTTAAAAGCTGACCAACATTGTCCAGACATCGAATCAACTTTGGCCGAATATAAAGCTTCAATGTGCAGTTTCGAGTTCGCTCTTTTGAAATACTTTAACAACGTGTAAAATGTATATCCTATATCTTCACATTTAAATGAAGGTTCACCTCCATAACATTCGCTAGGACGTGAACCTTCGATTCCATATTCATCCGACGTATCAATACAATCAGGAATGTCACGATTATCTCGAAAAAACGACTTTGGTATACATTGTCCGTTAGTACATCGATGTTCATTATCATTACATTCATTGATTTCAAGTTGCCAACAATGTTCTTCATCAAATTTACCATCGATACAATTTACCTTCCCATCACAAATTTCTCTCCAATTTATACATAATGGAGAAGGGCCACGAATACATTGTAAATGAATATAGCATGTCAAAAAAGTTGAATTAGATAGATACCTATTATAATAATCATAAATAATATCATATAAAGATATTTGACTTTCATTATAATAATTCATTTCATATTGACACATCGGACCGAATCTTGGAAATGTACAATTATAGAAAACTTGTGTTTCCAAAGGCTTATCATTTGATGTTGATAATTGATTTAAATAAAATTGATAACGTTCAATAATATCAATTGGAGTCGACCAAAGATATAATTATTGACTGGCAATATTTCGTTTTGAAAGTTCACCAAAGGTGAATTTTAGAAAGCTATTATGTTTCTCAATATGAAAATTCGTTGGTAATTCATCCATACAATAAGATGTAATTTCACGATAAGTACTTTTTTCATCAATAGCAACTACAACACGCAAACAATTATGTGGTAAAACATAATTGCTTTCACTCTCATTTATCCAATCTGTATAATGAAGATTGATTTGAGGCGAAGCAAAAATAAAATTTAAGAGAATCAAACCGAATAAATATTTCATGTAAAACATTCTTTCTCTATGAATACAATAATAAATGAATACAGTAATGACTATTTATAGGGTTCATGGAACATTTATATATATATTTTTTTTCTTTTCCTCTTTTTCTCATTGGTTACACATCTCTAAAAAGTGTTCACGTCATTAAAAAAAAACATCAGCACTTATGAACAAAATAATCTGTTTTTATTTGATCAACAGATTTTCTACGTATTTGCTGATATAGAATGTATGTAATGTGTTTCATGATAAGTTGAAAAACAGAAAGACTAAGTAATGTGCGTCGATCAAGATTAATTCTTTAATTTATGAACTAAGGAACAGAGGTGTATGCTGATGCATTAATAGTAAAATGTTGATTCCAGTATCGTCAGCTTTGTTGGAAAATTAAGAGAACTTCTTTTTAGAAATTTTCTTCGTTTCGAGAGGGTGTGGGTGTGGGTTGGATGTGGATAACCTAAATCGTTACGCCCACACCCACACCCTAACAGGATCCTGATACGAAGATTTGACCTAGATCCTGACGAAAACCTGATAAAATCTTGGCAGAATCCTCTCTCATCATCTTGAGAGAATCATTGATAGGATCTTGAGTAAATACTGGTAGGATCCTATATTCTCAACTCAGAAAAATATTTAAGCAGGAACCTGAAGAAATCCT